GTTGGAGACGAGAAACACGGCCCCGACGATCCCAAATTCGAACCGTCGTGCACGGAGCCTACGCAGCGGTGTCTAAACCGCTACGTTGAGACGCTCGCCTTTAGAAGTCGCAATTCCCGTCCATACACTCAAGTTCACGTCGGTAACAAATATGTTCGTTATTTACGCGTAAATGACTTGTCATCCAATAGCGGCAGTGAAATTGTTAGGCGAAGGTATTCCGATCGGAACTAACAACTAAAATAAAAACGTGTATGCAAACTTTCAATTGCAAAGTACAATGTGACAGTGGATTTGTAAAATGAAAAGTGGCAGTGAATTTGGAAAGTATAAAAGTGACAATTTTTGTTTTGTGAAAATTTGCCAGTGAGAAAGTGACAATGATCGTGATGATAAGGAAAAAATCGTCGGGTGCAGGTCACTGACTTACTCCAAGCATCAGCTGCTGCGAGCCATGTGTCCCATCTTCGAGTGGCCGAAGGTCGAACCATTGACCCATTGACGTTCTTCTACGAGCAGGTGCACTGATCAACGAAGAAGTAAGTTCAACTCTGATTCTTTTCACATTTTTCATAATTTTACCTATCCTGTAATTTGTAAAGTTGTGTGTTATTTCATTGAGCACGTTACATTTGTTCAGTGAACGTAAGTAACGACTAATCCCTTTCCTTCTTCTGATATCTAACGAATTTGTTAGTTCGTTTTTGCATGCAACATTTCTTTAATCCTATGCTCTCGTCACGAGCGCGACATACGGGCGCGACAATACACGAGGCGGTTGCCGCGCTCCTGCCCGCCTTGTATACTCGCACTCTGATTGGGCGGGGTTTTTGTTAATAACTCAATAACCACGTCTCGGACAACTTTTTCGCAAAGGAAAAAGTTGTTTAAAATCACCTCAGCTCCTCCTCATTTTCGGGCGTAGTAGGAGGTCTGGGACACCCTGTATATTAATATTAGTATACGTATGTGCGTTTGATTTAGAAAGTATGAGAGCGTTATTGTTCCTTTCGTGGTTTAATTTGACCTGTAATATTAGTGTGAATGTGCATGTCATCTAGTTTCATATTGATGTATGCGTATGCGTTTGTAGTGAGTATGTGTTTTATGTGATTTTCAGCAGGTATTAAGGCATCGGTGATGGACCTCTTGCATGCAATTGTGTTGAGAACAGATATCACTAGAGTGATCAGATAATGCCCAATGCCCTTTTCAATAGAGTAACAGGCGAAACTTAAGTGAAGTAGAGCTCGCGCAGCGCCACACTACACACACACAGCGACGCTCACACACACGCGTACACACAGCGCAAACAATTCATCCTTAACAAATTGTTATTCTTCTTCCATTATAATTTTCCAAGGTATGGCTCAAATAACAAACATATTACTTTTCTTCAACATGTCTTAACATATGATTTCTTTCTGTGCAGGTATTGTGCAGACAAGAAACGCACGAGAAGAGGAAGTATATTTTCTTACCATTCTAGGTATGTATACATTATATAAGTTAATTTTCAAACCGTCTCTCCGATTTAATTTCAATATCGTCCGAAATAATAATATTCTCGGAACTGTATTGAGGTTCCGAGAAAGTCACCGCGATAATATAAAAACATCGATACACGAGCCGAGTTTCTTGCCGGCTCGGTCGTTTTAACGGTCGCGATGTTTAGATTCCGCGATCGGAAAAAGTTCGAATCGGGCAGAGCGCGACGGAGTACGAAGACACGCGCGTGACGTGTCACCGGGGAGCGAGCGAGATAGCGATACCTCGTGATTCCCACCTCGCGACGATCGAGGTAACGGCCGATTTCGGCAAGACGATCATTCCGTTAGGAGATTTCCGTGATCGAGGAGTTCGTCACGAGTGATTTCGTCTCGAGGTTTCCGCGGTTTTAAGTGTTCTGCGTATTGACTGTGTCCGTGACAGAGGATTGCTTCTCAATCATTCCTGTTCCGGCTTTTATATCACTGAGTTCCGCGTATCGGTTCTTCCAGTGCAAAGAAGTGCGGCGCGATTAATTCCAGTTAGAGATTCGGAGTCGGTTCAGTTTCGATATCGAGGCTTCTCGTGTTGAGGGTATCGAATCGAAGCGTTAAAAGAAATCGGCGTTTGTTGCGAGTGTCGGAGTTAATAGTGCCGAAGTTTGAACTCGAGCGACGATTCATACCGTGTCGAGTTCCATGTGTCGAGTTTTCCACCGTGCGGACCCCAAGAGCTGCTGAATACATCACCATTACGAGTGTGACCTGCCTGGTGGAGGATACCAAGGTGGAACCCAGCCTTGGTGAATACATCACCATTGCGAGTGTGACCTGCCCGGTGGACTACGCGTCGGACGTTCAACCGTGCGGACCCCAATCGCTGGAGAATAACCAGCGTTGGTGAATACAGCACCTTGTGAGTGCGACCTGCACGGCGAAGGACATACCGATTGGATTCGGGTGTCCGCGAACGTTCGATCGACGGCTGTCTCCTGTGGTCTAACTAGAAGACGTACGTGAAGGAGCAGCCACCGTATTCGCGTGGTTTCCGAATACGGGACGTGCTTGAGTCAGGTAACCCTGCACTTTCTACAGCAGCTCATCACTCAACGGGTCTCAGCCCGGCCGATAGAATTTCGGATCCGCATAGCGCTGAGCCTTGAGGTCCTACAGAGGCCTCCACTCTTACAAAGTGCAACGAGGAGGTGAGCAATAGCAGCAGAACACCTTTCGTTGAGAAATCAACATATACGGTTCCGGTCCCTTTTCGGAGTAATTCGAAAGACCGAAGCGGAGTGCGGAAAGCCTCCGAAATATACAGTCCACTTAGCACGCTGCTGAGTTGATTCAGCGT